TAAATGGATAAATTATACTTAGACCCCTTTATACTTGTCACTTAATTACCTAGACCCCTCACATTTGAAATATTACATTTACATTCCTTGAGAATTCAAATATAACTAAAAATATTCCCCCCATTGGGCATTTAAATAATTTTGTTCAAGTGATGTATGCGTTAGATATAAAAAATATTATATAAATACATATATTATATTGAACATTCAAGTGGCACGCTTAATTTTGAACTTTAGAGTATAACAAACTCATAAAATAAACGGTTGCATGAAAATTATATTTTTTATTAGGAAGAAATAATGTTTTTTAACGGTTATATTAACAGATATCAACTATAAGGGATTATGCGCTACATGTGCACAAACGTCAAGAAATGTAAGAATAATATTTTAAATATGAGGGATTCAAATGATTAAATTACAACCTTGAGAGAGTCTAAATATAACCAACCCAACTAATTTTGGATGGCAAACTCACGAATATTAATATTAGGTGCGCATTGATAATCTTTGAGAATACAAATTAAAATTTTTTATCTTTGATGGTATAAATTAAAATTCGAACGATCTTTCAAAGTGTAATTTATGATTAAATATTTTTTAAAGTACTTATGAGAAATTATAAGTCATAAAAACACATTTAAAAATTCATCACAAACACGCCTGAGTGACTTATTTTTTCAATTAAATTTAAAATANAACTTATTTTTTCTATTAAATTTAAAATATTAATATTAACCGTCGAATTAACTTTAAAATAAAATTCAAAGACATCTCAACTGTAAAAAATAAAAATTATTTTATTTATTTTTAAAATTTGAATTGTATTGTACTTTATTATATAGATATAAATTTACTTATTATTATTTAAATTCTTATTTAGCAAGTACAAGTCATGCCTAAAAATATGCATCAAACTATTGACCTGATGCATGCATTTACTCAAAACGAGAAAAGTTTGGAGCCTTTACTCAAAACAAGTGCGCTTAAAAAGGCTACCCAAAAAAAATGTTTTTTTATTATTTTTACCATGAGGACATTGGGAAAGAGTGCTAGAAATTTCATTCCAAAACTGGGCAAACAAGTAGAATAAGTTGGCCCAATATATTCTCTATTCAATCTATACACTACAAACACAACACAACACTTTCTGATAATGGGTTTGATCAAAATTATAGATTACAAGTTCTTTAGAGCTGATAAAGCATCCTTTGTTGTTGCTGAGATAACAGCATCCGAAGCATTTGGCAAGTAATAATATTTTCCTGGAAAACACAAATTTTCAAGAGAATATGTCACAAGATACAACAAGACTATCTCATGACTGAATGTCAACATGCCACTTTCAAGTGTACACACCTTGGGCGACTCTCGCGATCTCTTTGGCAAAGCCGGTTGAAACAAACTTATTTTCTGTGTCGATGACAAGGAGGGACATCCCCGCTTTGTATACTTTACCAGCCACTTCAAGAATCTCATCCTTCAAGACAATGCAACAGACTATAGTCACTGCAAACTTAATCCATACATATTAAAATACTTCAGTTCATGCAGATATTTCGTTGAAGCATATGGCTTGCAACTACCTAGTGCTGGTCCAAACAAACTGAGGGTGTTGGAAGGGATGACATGGGTATATACCTAACCTTTGGGTTTATCTACAGAAAGTGGCAGCCATTATTTTTTTGGGGGCTGCAATCTCGGCGTCCCTTTGTGCTAAGGTAGAATGTTCACAAGAATTGAAAGGTATTGCAGAGCTAAAGTGATAGAGGATGATGTTATTGAACCGAAAGCAAAACTGGAGATTCTTACAAATTGGCGTTCTCAAGATTGTGCAATTGAATGAGGACTAGATATTCACCGGAAAGAACCGTCAAGTAAGCTTTCTAGATTAACAGAGGGTCAGCAAACCTTTATCCAATTTTTTATTGGCCAAAATACATCCCAATAATGGGTGAATTTTCCAACTCCAGTAGTTTAAGTCCCCTAATTCAGACTACATTTGGCATACTGTTTTAAGTAAGGCCCTGTTAGGTGTAATCTTTTGTATGGTAGTTCCATTTACCTTTAGCTCTTGAGCAGAAGGTCTAGGTGCATCAGAAGCACCAGCTTCAGGATCAGTCGATCTTTTCAGCGATATGTTAGCCCTACCATCAGTTATCGCAACAATCATTATGCGTCCAACATCACCACTCTTCTCTGCATTCATTCCAACCCTCACAGCCTAAGAAGGTTCAAGTCAAAAAACTGTTCATAGAGATCATGCCAATAATCATAAAGGAACTCATTATTAGCCAAAGTAAGATGAAAATGACAGGTGTTCAGATATAAAATGGAAACTAGAAAGGAAGGAGAGCTTTGCATGCTTAAATTAGAAAGCAATTGTCATTATGAAGATGTTAATAATACGTTTCCAACAGGAAAAAAAAAAAAAAAAAATTGCAAATTATCTACAAAATATGTGCATCATAGTGGAGAAATACTTAAATTACATAACCGTAAATGGAAGATTTAGAAATGTGTATCTATTCCAAGATTTGTTGGAATTTGAAAGCTTCAGGCATTACTGTTCAAAAGGCTTATTAATCAAATTGGCATACCGTGGTAAGACCATGAGCTAGGGGAGAACCTCCACCGCATGGCAGTCTCTCAAGACGTTTCCTTGCCATTGAAATTGACCTTGAAGGAGGCAATAGAACTTCGGCAGCATCTCCACGGAAGGGGATGATGGAGACCTATTCAACATTTATAAGTTTAATTTGAGACATTAGCATTAGTGAGAATGTCAACAAACTGAGACTTAATGTTTAAAAATAGGGACAGAGGGACTCAATAAATAATGAAGTCATGAAAATTTTGAAATATATCCACTATAGATATATACAGATATATTTATATAGTACTAGGATTTTTTGATATGAAACTACTGCATCCATTTAACGAACAGAAAATATATAACTAAACATACGGAGAGGGAGATAGCTCTATAGATAAGCACAGAGAGAGAGAGAGAGGAAGCATCAAAATTTCACCAATCGCTAACAGTGCCGAAAGCTTCGCAAGCACTGGGAAAAGAGAGCAACAAATCCCAATGGACTCCCAAGTCCCAACAGATCCAACCCATATCCTTCTCATGGGAGATGTTAGGGTTTTACAGGTAATAACTCAGTAACTGCTGGTTTAGACAATAAGCATGTTTCTCAGTACTCCATCCTGGAACCCATTTGATCCCCTTTTAAAGGGCTATTTCTCACACAAAGAGGCCAGAGCATCCCACCCAGCTAAACATAACCTCGATATCCTTGGATTACACAGTGCTTGAATTCCGTAGAAGATGCTTCCAGACGACCTTCAAGGATGGAGGTCCTCGGATGCAAGGATCAAAATTTCGTTTCGAAATGATCGAAACGTTTCCGTTTCCAAGGAGACTAAAACGAATCAACGATGAAATCAAAATTCTAAATACTTCGAGGTGTTTCATAATGTTTTAAAGTATTTTGTAATATTTCAATGCATTTGTACAATTATTTTATTTCAAGGTATTTTAAGAAATTTTAGTATATTTGAATTAATATTTTGAAAAAATAATTATTAAAATTTTTGTTTTTTTTATTTTATTTCCGAAACAGATTGAAACGCTTTTGAAACACGTCAAAATGTTTTCATTTCCTAGGTGACCGAAACAATGCACCGAAACGAAATTTTGATCCTTACTCTAATGTTACTGGCAGAACCCGACGCATGCTGGCATGAGAAGTTAGAATTAGTACTACTTTTGTGACTTTTGATTGTAACTCTGATTTCCAGTTAAGTTGGAGTACAAAGAACACACGTAGAGAGTAAGTTTCCATTCTTTCTTCTAAGGAGGGTTCCCAAGGTCCCAAAGAATTTTGCCACCCAAAAAAAAAAAAATTAATTGCAAGTTCAGACATCCAAAGAAAATAGAAGGATTCAATTTAGTGTCCAAAAAACGGAGCATTGACCAAAATGATTGTAGCTATAGGATTGACAGTATCCTCAAAGCGAACCTTCGTGCAAGCTCTGGGTAGAATGATGTATGGTGTCCATGAAAAGTTGAGGGAATAAGAATGAGCCTCAATATAGTCAAAAGCAAAGAAGTAGTCCAGCCTGACAACCATTTGGGTCAAAGCTTTGTTAATCACAGCATAGAGACTCAAAAGGTCATGAATATGCCATGATTTTCCTGTAATTACATATCCTGAGTTCTATCTGGAATTTATTTAATGAGACTATAATTTCTTGGTTTTTTCTCCAGGGTGAACTAATTATATATGTATATCCCTTTCAATAGAGGTTGAGCATTCAAAAATTTTCACAAAAAGGGAAAAGAGCTAGAATTTAAGTTCTTGGTTTCAGTACTCTCTTTTGGGCTTTCCATTTGTTGACTTTGCCATGTTTCTCTTGTTCTCTCTCTCACTACTAGTGAAGTTTGTTTATCTTTGTTGCCTGTGCACATATCTGTACTGTGGATGAACTATAAATATCATCTGTTAAGTGTTCGATCTTTTTCTTGTTGTTCAAAATGTCAAATTCACCCAGATTTATGTGTGCATAGCAGTGGTATTATAGCTTTTCTAGCATTTCCCAATTGGAAAAGCTACAGATTCATGGCAAACACCAATAAAATCAATTCAAGCCCTAAGTTTTCCTATTATATAAAACTATTGGTTAGTAACGTGTTAGTCTTGTCCTGCTTTAAAATACAATGTTTCTTACATTTACTTGGAATTAATGTGAGTAAAAAAGGGATACAAACTAAGTGTAGAGCCCCCGTATATATAGTCAATGAGAGTTACCATAAGGACAAAAAGGTAAAAAAAGAAAACTTAATAAGACCCTAATAAACTAGACTACTGCTATATCTCCAACACTCCCCCTCAAGCTAGGCGCAAAAATGTCAACTAAGTCAAGCTTGACAACGGAGTTCCGAAGAATAGACAGAGTGACCGGTTTGGTAAAAACATCCGCAACCTGATCACTGGTCCCCACAAACGATGGAGTGGCAATACCACTGCTAACCTTCTCCCGAAGAAAATGAACATCAATCTCTATATGCTTCGTCCTCTCATGTAGTACAAAGTCAGAAGCGAGCTGAATAGCAAATCGATTATCACAATATAATGTAGAAGGAGAGGTCACTGAAAAACCCAACTCGCCAAATATCGTTCGTAACCAGATAATCTCACACGTGCCAAGTGTCAGTGCCCGATACTCTGCCTCTGCTGATGAGCGGAAGACAACTGTCTACTTCTTGCTCTTCCAAGAAATAAGATGAGTCCCTCGAAAAGCACAGAAGCCCGTAGTAGATCGACTATCACATGCTTCCCCATAATCTGAATCTGAATAACAGGCTAGAGAACCGGTCTGAGATCCTGATACATAAAACAACTCAAGTTCAGGACAAGACTTGAGGTACCGAAGAATATGATAAACTGCATCAAGATGAGGCTGACATGACCTGTGCATGAACTGACTAACTCGGCTGACTGCGAANTCTTGGTTTTTTCTCCAGGGTGAACTAATTATATATGTATATCCCTTTCAATAGAGGTTGAGCATTCAAAAATTTTCACAAAAAGGGAAAAGAGCTAGAATTTAAGTTCTTGGTTTCAGTACTCTCTTTTGGGCTTTCCATTTGTTGACTTTGCCATGTTTCTCTTGTTCTCTCTCTCACTACTAGTGAAGTTTGTTTATCTTTGTTGCCTGTGCACATATCTGTACTGTGGATGAACTATAAATATCATCTGTTAAGTGTTCGATCTTTTTCTTGTTGTTCAAAATGTCAAATTCACCCAGATTTATGTGTGCATAGCAGTGGTATTATAGCTTTTCTAGCATTTCCCAATTGGAAAAGCTACAGATTCATGGCAAACACCAATAAAATCAATTCAAGCCCTAAGTTTTCCTATTATATAAAACTATTGGTTAGTAACGTGTTAGTCTTGTCCTGCTTTAAAATACAATGTTTCTTACATTTACTTGGAATTAATGTGAGTAAAAAAGGGATACAAACTAAGTGNATGTGTTAGTTTTGTCCTGCTTTAAAATACAATGTTTCTTACATTTACTTGGAATTAATGTGAGTAAANGTGTTAGTCTTGTCCTGCTTTAAAATACAATGTTTCTTACATTTACTTGGAATTAATGTGAGTAAAAAAGGGATACAAACTAAGTGTAGAGCCCCCGTATATATAGTCAATGAGAGTTACCATAAGGACAAAAAGGTAAAAAAAGAAAACTTAATAAGACCCTAATAAACTAGACTACTGCTATATCTCCAACACTCCCCCTCAAGCTAGGCGCAAAAATGTCAACTAAGTCAAGCTTGACAACGGAGTTCCGAAGAATAGACAGAGTGACCGGTTTGGTAAAAACATCCGCAACCTGATCACTGGTCCCCACAAACGATGGAGTGGCAATACCACTGCTAACCTTCTCCCGAAGAAAATGAACATCAATCTCTATATGCTTCGTCCTCTCATGTAGTACAAAGTCAGAAGCGAGCTGAATAGCAAATCGATTATCACAATATAATGTAGAAGGAGAGGTCACTGAAAAACCCAACTCGCCAAATATCGTTCGTAACCAGATAATCTCACACGTGCCAAGTGTCAGTGCCCGATACTCTGCCTCTGCTGATGAGCGGAAGACAACTGTCTACTTCTTGCTCTTCCAAGAAATAAGATGAGTCCCTCGAAAAGCACAGAAGCCCGTAGTAGATCGACTATCACATGCTTCCCCATAATCTGAATCTGAATAACAGGCTAGAGAACCGGTCTGAGATCCTGATACATAAAACAACTCAAGTTCAGGACAAGACTTGAGGTACCGAAGAATATGATAAACTGCATCAAGATGAGGCTGACATGACCTGTGCATGAACTGACTAACTCGGCTGACTACGAATGAAATGTCCGGCCTAGTATTGGCTAANACATACACCTGCAAAAGAAGAGAGACTGATAACTTTGTATTGACAGAGATGAGTGGCTCTGAAGGAGGAGAAACAGATAACCCTGTAGGGATAATGACCAATGACTCTGACTCCTNTGCGCATAAAAAACCGAACGTAATGTAAGGCTATCTGGGAGGCGGACTATACCCCTACTAACAATAGGGGCATGTGTCTCATCTGCTAACTGAACCTGTGTATGTAACTGCTCGTCAAAAGTGGTGAAATGATGGACCTCACCTATCATATGACCATTTGCACCCAAGTCCAGCATCCAAAGAGGAGACGGACTGGCGCAAGCATGAAAGGCACGAAGTATACCTGCAGTGGTGGCAGTAACAGTAGTCGAACCCTGAGAGGTCAAGGAGGACATAAGTATATCCAANATAATCGGGAAGTGATAGCCTCCATATCATTCTGCCAAGGTGGAGCAGCAGAAGCAAGAGTAACGGTAGTGGGTGGTGGTACCTCAGCAATAGCAACAGTACGGCTGCGAGGAGGCAGCTNGGCACCGAATAGGATCATAACACCGATATCCCTTAGATTGATGGCAATAACCCACAAAGATACAATGAATCGCTTTATCATCAAATTTATGACGAGTAGGAGACCGATCCTGAACAAAACATGTGCATCCAAAAACACGAGGGGAGACCGAAAAAAGTATCCGCTCAGGAAATAAGNTGCGCATGAAAAACCGAACGTAATGTAAGGCTATCTGGGAGGCGGACTATACCCCTACTAACAATAGGGGCATGTGTCTCATCTGCTAACTGAACCTGTGTATGTAACTGCTCGTCAAAAGTGGTGAAGTGATGGGCCTCACCTGTCATGTGACCATTCGCACCCGAGTCCAACATCCAAAGGGGAGATGAACTGGCACAAGCGTGAAAGGCACGAGATATACCTGTAGTGGTGACAGCAGCAGTAGTCAGACTCTGAGAAGTCAGAGCAGACATAAGTATATCTAATCGGGAAGTGATAGCATCCATATCACTTTGCCAAGGAGGAGCAGTAGCAGGAGTGGCGGTAGTGGGCGGTGGTACCTCAGCAATAGCAACAGTACGGCTGCGAGAAGGTGGCTTAAGCTCTGGATGGAGCTTCCAGCAAGTAGCCCTGAGATGTCCTGGTCGGCCACAATAATCACATTGACGGGAATCCCCCCGTCTGCGCTGATCTGGGGCGCCCTGACGGCGCTGGTCTGAGCGTTGCCTATCCCTGACTAAGGATCCTGAACGGGACCCTACAGCAGCTGCAAGGGCCATCTGGTCAATCGAAGGAGTCAAAGCTGCAACTGGAAGTGATGCAATACGGACTCGACGCTCATGCTGCTCAATCATCCCATACACCTCATAAAGAGAAGGAAGTGTCAACATCGACAAGATCTGAGAACGAGGTCCCTCAAACTCATCACGAAGCCCCATAAGGAACTTGTGAATCCTATCCTCCTGCTCTCGAGTATGCAAGAATGCTGCTCCCTCAGGCTCTATCTTCGGAATAACAGCAAGAGGACGTAGAGTCTCATACTCAAGCCAGCGCTGGGTCAAATAGCCATAATAATCCTGAACGGTCATATCTCCCCACCGAGCATATGAGAGCTCCTAAGAAAGCTCATAAACACGAACTCCCCGTCCTGACTGAGAATACATCTCTGATATTGCACTCCATAGCTTCAGAACAGAACTATGAAACTGGTGGATCCTACAAACAGATGGCTCCATCGAGCCAAATAACCATCCAAGAATGGCGCAGTTCTCAGAGAACCACGCAGAATATCCAGGGTCGGCATCAGCTGGCTTTAGGTGAGATCCCGTCAGCTAACCAAACTTCCCTACACGGCCTAAGAAAAGCTGGAATGAGCGAGACCACTCAGCAAAGTTACGACCATTCAACAACTGTGCCGTAACTTTTTGAGAGATCATGCCCGGTAGTGCTGGCAATGCAACTGTGCTAGTAGGTACTGTATACTGGTCAAACATAAAAGTGGAAGTACCCATAGATGTTTCAACGGTAGAGGTGTCAACAGTAGGGTTCTCAAGTCCCTCAGTAGTAGTCATATCAACAACAATACTAGGGCACCCGTGACAGAAAAACAACTCTAAGATAAATAGAGGAATAAAATAAGGGAGAACAATATACCTCCAGTCGAACAATAGCGACAAATAAAAAAGGTCCAGAAAGTTCTCAAATAATTAGGTCACGATGCCCAGAAGTCCAATAAATATAAATAAGTGATCTACTGCATTAAGAGCATATCAACTGAGAAGAGGATTCAACCCCTCTTAAAAGGTTCTACGGTCCCAAATAATCAGGCACACAAAGGCAAAACACGAAACTATGACGAAGAGCGCGACCCAGCTAGTTCGCTGTTGGAGTTTGGGCTGGACTGGACAATGGGCTGTTTGGTGTGTTTTGCTGGGTGTAGAGTTTAATGTTTGCTCGGTGTATAGGAGTACGTATTTTTTTTTTTTTGGGCTGGGGAGCATGTGATGGTCTGACGTGGGTAGTGGGTTTGTGAAGTCGGTGGTCTGGAGTGGGTTTGTATTGTCTATATGTTTCGGTTGTTCGGTAGCTAGCGGCAGGGGTTTTGCTGGATGATACCANGCTCCATAGCTTCGGAACAAAACTATGAAACTGGTGGATCCTACAAACAGATGGCTCTATCGAGCCAAATAACCATCCAAGAATGGCGCAGTTCTCAGAGNGCTGGGTAGGCAGTTGGTCTTGGGCAGTCGGCTGGGGAGCATGTGATGGTCTGACGTGGGTAGTGGGTTTGTGAAGTCGGTGGTCTGGAGTGGGTTTGTGAAGTCTATATGTTTCGGTTGTTCGGTAGCTAGCGGCAGGGGTTTTGCTGGATGATACCAGGTGNTAACCAAACTTCCCTACACGGCCTAAGAAAAGCTGGAATGAGCGAGACCACTCAGCAAAGTTACGACCATTCAACAACTGTGCCGTAACTTTTTGAGAGATCATGCCCGGTAGTGCTGGCAATGCAACTGTGCTAGTAGGTACTGTATACTGGTCAAACATAAAAGTGGAAGTACCCATAGATGTTTCAACGGTAGAGGTGTCAACAGTAGGGTTCTCAAGTCCCTCAGTAGTAGTCATATCAACAACAATACTAGGGCACCCGTGACAGAAAAACAACTCTAAGATAAATAGAGGAATAAAATAAGGGAGAACAATATACCTCCAGTCGAACAATAGCGACAAATAAAAAAGGTCCAGAAAGTTCTCAAATAATTAGGTCACGATGCCCAGAAGTCCAATAAATATAAATAAGTGATCTACTGCATTAAGAGCATATCAACTGAGAAGAGGATTCAACCACTCTTAAAAGGTTCTACGGTCCCAAATAATCAGGCACACAAAGGCAAAACACGAAACTATGACGAAGAGCGCGACCCAGCTAGTTCGCTGTTGGAGTTTGGGCTGGACTGGACAATGGGCTGTTTGGTGTGTTTTGCTGGGTGTAGAGTTTAATGTTTGCTCGGTGTATAGGAGTACGTATTTTTTTTTTTTTGGGCTGGGGAGCATGTGATGGTCTGACGTGGGTAGTGGGTTTGTGAAGTCGGTGGTCTGGAGTGGGTTTGTATTGTCTATATGTTTCGGTTGTTCGGTAGCTAGCGGCAGGGGTTTTGCTGGATGATACCAGGTGTTGTTCGCTGGTAGGCCAATGGAGTGGACAACACCTCCTCCCAATTCTCTCCAGTCGGTGGTTGTGTAAGGGCAATCGGTGGCTGTCGGTGGTTGTGTTGCTGGTACGGGCAATGGGTTTGTTGCTGGTTGTCACTGCGTTTGATGTTTGTTGTGTTTGTTGTCGGTGGTTTGGGCAGTCGGCGGCAGTGTGGTGGTGGCTGGTGGCTGCAACGTGGAGGAGGGGCTAGGGTAGGGTTAGGGTTAGGGTTGTGGCTCTGATACCAACTTGGAATTAATGTGAGTAAAAAAGGGATACAAACTAAGTGTAGAGCCCCCGTATATATAGTCAATGAGAGNAGGTTGTCACTGCGTTTGATGTTTGTTGTGTTTGTTGTCGGTGGTTTGGGCAGTCGGCAGCAGTGTGGTGGTGGCTGGTGGCTGCAACGTGGAGGAGGGGCTAGGGTAGGGTTAGGGTTAGGGTTGTGGCTCTGATACCAACTTGGAATTAATGTGAGTAAAAAAGGGATACAAACTAAGTGTAGAGCCCCCGTATATATAGTCAATGAGAGTTACCATAAGGACAAAAAGGTAAAAAAGAAAAACTTAATAAGACCCTAATAAACTAGGCTACTGCTATATCTCCAACACATTTCATCCTGCATTTTGCTGTATCTTCTGAATTGATTGTCATTGCTATGGAAAAGGTAATTGTTGCCAAAAAAATTCAAATAATAAAAATAACGATCATGACCACAATTAGAAGATAAGTTTACAAACCGGTGGATCCAATTCTTCCGTTTCCTAACACAAAGGAACTTCCTCATAGGCTAGGCAAAACATGAAAGGAAATTCATACACAAGCATTCTTATGAAGNGACCCTAATAAACTAGGCTACTGCTATATCTCCAACACATTTCATCCTACATTTTGCTGTATCTTCTGAATTGATTGTCATTGCTATGGAAAAGGTAATTGTTGCCAAAAAAATTCAAATAATAAAAATAACGATCATGACCACAATTAGAAGATAAGTTTACAAACCGGTGGATCCAATTCTTCCGTTTCCTAACACAAAGGAACTTCCTCATAGGCTAGGCAAAACATGAAAGGAAATTCATACACAAGCATTCTTATGAAGGCATTCAAGCACAGAATGACATATAGACTTGTGACCATTACCAACGAGCTATTGAATTGTCATCTTCCTCTAGCCTACCATCAGAATAAACTGGAGATGACAACTGCAACTAACAAGAAACGCAGAGGGGTCCATGAATCATGGATTGAAGATTGGTCCTAGGTTTACAATAAATCTTTTATGTCGTTGTTAGTTTTAGTTTTTTGTGCAGCCTACAAATACAGGGGTATTGCAAAGGTTTAGTATTGACAAATGAAAACTAATTAAGACAGAATTTTCTACTTCTCTCTCTCTCTCTTACTTACCATCGTTTGGGCGTCAACAACTCTTACCATTGTGAAGACAGTCCCACTCAGTTGTCTAACACTACAAATTGTACATCCATCTTCAAATTGATTGGACTTCGTAAAAAAACTAAAGAAATCTGTGTGTGAACTTCATAATCCCTATCATCATAATATCGAAGTGATAGCAAAAGTTACTGTTAGAGTTCTTATTGTCTATATTAAACATAAGTTAACTAGAAATGTACCTGATCTCTACTAGTGTAACTCTCAGCTAGTAATTTAAGTGCTGCACCTTTTGCATTCTGCATTCGGTTCAATGCCATGCTCNTTAGCATAGGGTAATCAACCATTTACATTAAAAGCTTAAACTATTAGAGAGGGTATAACTTGAGTATTTGTTTACAAATGCTACATATCAAGCAATCATGAAGAAAAACATGGATTTATAACTAGAAATGTACCTGATCTCTACTAGTGTAACTCTCAGCTAGTAATTTAAGTGCTGCACCTTTTGCATTCTGCATTCGGTTCAATGCCATGCTCCCACTTGCGTCAACCACAAATATTACCTGCCATGAATCTAGTCAACAAGAAAGTTGAACATGCCAAAGCTTGCCAATTGTTTCCTTAAAAGTAAACTTAGGCATTATCCAGTATCAGATCCTCCTTCCTTTGTCAATTGAATTGAAACCCATCATTTTTAATCAGATAAATAGGTCATCACTGAGGGACTAAAACACTCTCAAATAAAAGTTGAAGTCCATAAGATTTAAATACTATTTTATAAAATTTGGATTCCATAGTCCATAAGATTTAAATACATTCTCTCACAGTAAAAAATAGCCATTTGTTAAATTTTTAAGCTTTATTAATTACACGTCAACATAGCTTTATTGTTTAGTAATAGACACAGCCTAAAGAAGAGTCGGATTTGTGGCTGAGATTAACACTTTATGGACAAGGATAAAAGAGTATCAGACGTCAAGAGTGTCACTGTCGGAGACTTATCTAACACAAATGCGTCACTTTCTTAGATCTATGATTGATTATTAATAGGGCTAAAAAGATTCAAGATGATGTGGCTCAGAGAATAAAAATTGGTTGACTCAAGTGGACAAATGCTTCCAAAAGCAAAATTTTACGGGATGGCTATAGGGCCAACAATGCTTTATAGAACAAAATTTTGGAAAACCAAGAAACTACACACAATGGATATAGCCAAAATGAGAATGGTAAGATAGATGTATAGTAAACATAAGAAAAAATAGAATTAAAAATGAAACCATTCGTCAATAGGAGTAGCAGTAGATACGTTGAGAGATCGATTACTATAGTTTTGACATCAAAAATCAATAAATACAGAAATAAGGAAGAGTGACATAATCACCGGTAGTGAAAATTGACATGGAATGCTATACAGAAAAAAGAAGAGTTTAGATGCTTGTAATCTAACTGAACTATAGCCTTAGCAGAGTAGAATGAAAAAAAAGCATCATCTTAGACAATCCCAAATTATTTGGGACAAGGACTTATTTGGTTTATCAAATTTTCACTGACATACTGCATACGCAAACTATACGGTTCACTATGGTGGCACTTTGCCATTATTGAAGATGCCAGAAATCTAGTTCAAAAGTCATTCTCCAACTCTTCAGCAGTAAACCACGCAACAATAGAAAAAGATAATAGGAGAAATTTCAGCAATCATAAAACAAACATCAAGGAGAAGTCAGAATTTAAGCATGAATATCATCTTAGTAAAAACTATACCAGGGCTCCTGCTTTTCGAGCCATTCTTTTAACTCTCATGTCAGTTTTCTCAACAAAAACTTTTCTAGTCTTTTGAATATCCCTCTCCCTCCGCAACTTCTGGTATGGTGCAGCTACTCTAAGAGTTGCATCAACAGCTAATCTCTTTACAGGACCCTGCTTAAGATCATTGAACTTCTTTAGAGTAAACTCAAACAGAAGCCAAGCCAACTTCCCAAAGACTTAGCACATTTCTGGATGCATCAAACATTTAAAAAACAAGTGCATGTCCATCAATCACTCTTGACCACTTCAAATGGTCAGCTGAGAACACAAACACAAGAATACACATATTGCTAATTTTTTTGAATCCAAATTTTAAGACATAAGTTTAGAAGGACAAAAGATACATGTAGTAGATCTTTTTCTCTCTCTGTCTAGTGGTGAGAACATAGGAAAAAGGAGGGGGGGGGGAGGACTGACCTTTGGAAGCATTGGCTTAATATATCGGCCTCTATCCTCAGAAAATATAACATTCTTTGCCCTCCCAGCTTTACCTCGGCGTCTCTGTGCTTGTTGAGCAAAGAAGAGAAGTTTCTCATCCACCAAACCGCCTTCTGCATCAAAGATAAATTCTTCAGGTATCTGTTCCTGTTGCTGTTCATTCTCTTCGTCATTGTCATCCTAATTACAAAGTGAACCTTCCCATTTGTAAGCAAGTGCATTGAAAAAACAATGAAACCAATTCAGGAAAAGGGAATTCATTTCTTTTAGGAAGCAGAAAAACTTAACATAACATTCAAAATCAACATGAAGTTTTGATCATGCTGACAAACCTCTTGATCTTCCTCTTCGTTCTCCTGCTCAGCGGAATCTTGATTTTGCGGAGGCGGAGGTGGAGGCTGCTGATTCTGCTTTTCAGGTGGGTTCTCATTGATGATTGAACGAGGAAGAATGACCAATTCCACCTGTATAAGAAAAGGTATCAGAGGAGAGATTTTGCACCCAAAAGAAGACTCAGTGAGCCGGATGTACCAAATCTACAAAATTCTGGGCCATAGAGCATTCAAATCCACTTGGTTTATTGGTTATTTCAAGATGACACTGTAAACGTTAATGCTTAACTCTGGGTGATGAAAATATGAGAAAGCTGGGAAAGGGGTTCACAACCATGTCAGAGGAAGGCGCTAGATGCTGAATTAGCTCTATTTAGGCTTCTATCAGGAGTGAATTACAAATTGTTTGATTTTGGAATTTGATTATTTTCAGTTTAGTTGCTTTCTACACCCATAATTGAGCCTTCCCTAGAAAGAGAACAATAAGTACTGTGATTAACTGATTATTGTAAATGAGAGCTGCTGACTGATATTAAAATATTGAAGTAAATAGAACTTTTGCCTCCCTTTGATTCTATGTTTCTTCTGCTTCTTCCCTTCCGTTAAGAGTGTTACAAGTGTCATAATGGTATTTCCATAATTTTCCTATGTTCATGATAGTGCAAGATAAAGACAACAACCCAGATGGTGACTATCTATCACATTCTATTAAGCCTTCCTTCAGACAGCCATAACATGTCACTAAAGCATCTTTAAGCCTAACCACACTTTATTTTCTTCCCTCTTTTTTTTTTTTCTATCTCTTTTCTCTCCATTTTATACTTCTCTTTTGGTTAAAAAAGAAACATAAATAGATTCAGATCTCTGAGAAATTGATGTAATAAGTCAAAGAGAAATTCAAGAACAGACTATTTACGGACAGTGCTAATTTTATATTTTCGTGTAATTTTTTCCTACTGCAAGGAGATTTGGGAGGCAGGCATGAAACATATTGGGTGGAAAATAATGAATCTCAGGTTTATGATGTCCATCAACATTCGTTTCCTCTCCAGAAAAATGTTAAGATTGTGAGTGAGTATTAAAACGTCTTCAACAGGTTACTGGATGAGTTGAATTAGTATCATCCTGAAACTGGTGACGTTGAAACTCTTAAGAAACAGAGTGAGGAGTTCTATGTTCCTAAATTTCCTTATGAACTTGATCCAAATCTCCATTCTGAAACAGCCTCAGATGTTGATGGGAGATGGCAGTATTCCTTCATAGCGTATCATGTAAGTTAGAGTTCTTATGGCTGCTAATGGATCCTTGCCAGTATCAAACACTTTGGGCAACTGAACAGTATGGTATGCTCCAGGGAGACATGGTTCATCTCATGGTGTCGGTTGTACCGGTGGTGGTTTGGGAGGTGGTGGTAGTAGTGTATTGGCCATAGTTTTGGTAGAGGTTGTGGAACAGAAAGGGGCCATTATAAAAGCCATAGAATTGTGTTGCTCAAATCATGCTACCACTATCATGATGGAAGTCGAATCCTGTTCGATGTTTTATCATTGAAGATAGTCACAAATTTTTGTTGTCATTTAACATTCCAGATATACTCAAAGGTCACCTACAAGCAGAGCAAGTGTGTCTAGATTGTTTTGTACAGCTAAATGGCATAAGTCCATAAAGTGATGGCACAGGCTAAAGATAATCATCCATCATCAGGTCGAAACAACAATTCAACATTATAAACTGTATTAACGAAGTTAAATCATACAAACAAGAAAATATACTGAAGTTTAGTCAATTGCATAGACAACGACACTCTCCAAGATAAAATCAGGATTGGACCTAAAAGAACAAGGTTGCACATGAAGCACACAAAAAGTTTCAAGCCAACCAGTACTTGGGCAGAGGGACAGTAGGCCAAGGTTAACAGGGCAAAATTATTTTTACAACTGTCAACTTCACACCCTTTGCTACAGAAGAAAGATATCACAAAATTGTTTTGAGACTTTGAGTCTCAATGAAACAGGCAAGAAATAAAAAAATACGATAGTTTAACACCCCGGCGATATTAAACAAATTTGTCATAAGACTCGCCTTGAAATTTACTAAACAATATAGCATGAATGACATTTTACACCCCGAAAGATTAAAATTTTTAGATTGCACCACCAAAAAAGTAATGATGTGGCCTAAAAGAACACATCTGTTGTCACTAGACAGATCACATTGCTACCTTTTTATGTGATTGAGGGTGCAATTTAGAGAAGTTAAATCTTTTAGGGTGTAAATTGAAAATCTAAAAATCTGTCAAGATGCAAAGTGCTATTCACCCAAGGATATATTTCTCATTGGACATGCCTGGTTTAGTGTCATGTCATATAGGGATGTTTAGCCAACACAGCATTGAAGAGCTAGAAATATAAAGGATAATAATACTTAACAGCTTTCTTCAGGTCATCCACATTGACTCTCTCACGTCCTTCAAAAGCAGCTAAGCATCTGGCAACACGGGCAGCATACAGCTCAGATCTGTGTCCCTGTAATTCCATAACAACGTTACACTCTATTTCCTATTACAATCCTGATGTACGACCCTTGCAGAATATGTTCTGCTATAGCACCCACTATCCTACAGCCTCATACATCAATCAGGTGATGTACAGTCAGTTACCAAGATCTAAGGAAAGACAATACATAAGGACTTTCCAAGTGGGACCGAGAAAAAGAATAAGTGTTTATCCCCATTAACGGGGGTACAGTCCAGCCCTTCCAGACACCTGAGACAAAAACACTTTGGTAGTGCTCCTGGAGCAAAACACAAATAATGACTCGGAGCACATTGAGCCATCTCCTTTTTTCTGTCAAAAAAAATATGGCAGACTAACTGATATTTATATCAGTTAATGAAAAAGCCCAATGCAAAAAAAAAAAAAAAAATGCATGTTGGGTCTTTGAAACAGTTCAGATTTTTTTGATAAAGCTGCCCAGGCCCCAGTGTCCTATTATGATTCCACTGGGTTAGTCATTATGCATCAGATGGCTTACTGTGAAATCTGAGAGTGAAAACATCTGCCAACACTTAATCTACAATTGTCTTTGATTTTAGACAACGATGACCATCAGATGTTCATTATTAAAAACTAGTCTACGAAAACTGAAAAAACATTTAATAGAAAATTAAGAAAAAGTTCCACATTAAGAACCTGACAACCACCTCGGAGTGCTTCCATAACCAAGTATTTTAGTTGCTCTCTGCTGATACTGACATCCTTCAAGTACTCTCTAGCCAAAATAATCTGCATGCCATTAAGTATGCAAAACATTGTCTTTTAATGCACAAAGAACTAAGCTTGATTTAAAACTACACAGTCTCTTATGACTTATGAGCATTATTGTTGTTATGCTTTCAGAACAACTATAAATAATTTGGCTACATAAAAAAATATTGTACTGTAATTTAACATGCACAACAATGGTTTATCCGTGAACAGATTTGGTTAGCAGGCTGTTAAAGGTAAATGAATCCTATGGTCACTTGAGATACCAATAAGTGGTTAATGAAATTATTCAAGTAAAATGTCAGCTCTTTTGGGAATTGTTTTTGATTGGAAGAATTTTCAATTGTTGCAAAAGTTCTGAATATTAAAATTTTTTATTTACATATGGAAAATTCAGAACAATGAGTATAACAGAGCTTTTCATTTAAGAAAATTTTATTCATAACAATGAGAAAAGTTTATTTACGTATTCAGTTGTATTGCATTTCAGAAAGGAGGGCCGAATAGTTTGAATTCGGAATACGACATTGGATTTCATGTGTTTAGAGCAGTACAATTACATGAGGAGTGATTTTGAGCTTTGAGAGCCATACGTTACTGGGGAGAGTGAACTGCACCTTAAGAATTTGCAATCCTTAAGCTTTGGATAACTACAAGCTTGATGGAGTTATGGAAATTTGTACTGAGAAGCCACGAACACAGGGATTGGGGGGAGAATAGCACTATAATACCCAGCCCCCAATATATATGCGTGTGTGTGTGTGTGTGTGTGTTCACCAATTAATTTTGAAAGGTCTTTCAAAAAGGAAGTTAAAATTATTAGGGGCTATTATTTAGGAAGAGTTATCTTTTATTTGACTCAACCAAAAAGGGGGGAGAGAGAGGCAGCAAGGCTTTGGTTGGTGGAATGAGTGGGGTCTTCAAAAGAGGAAGAAAAGAAAACGAGAAGATCAAAGAATAAGGCAAATGCCATCCTATTTTCTTAGTTAATCAAAAGAAGTTTTCCTTTTCTCAAAACAGAAAAAAAAAAAAATACATACCCTTCTTCCCCAGCATTCCCGTTAAATACTCATTTATTTTTCCAATGGATTCCGTTCCGGATTTCATATGTATATAAGTTTNAAGAATTTTCAATTGTTGCAATTTTCAATTCTGAATATTAAAATTTTTTATTTACATATGGAAAATTCAGAACAATGAGTATAACAGAGCTTTTCATTTAAGAAAATTTTATTCATAACAATGAGAAAAGTTTATTTACGTATTCAGTTGTATTGCATTTCAGAAAGGAGGGCCGAATAGTTTGAATTCGGAATACGACATTGGATTTCATGTGTTTAGAGCAGTACAATTACATGAGGAGTGATTTTGAGCTTTGAGAGCCATACGTTACTGGGGAGAGTGAACTGCACCTTAAGAATTTGCAATCCTTAAGCTTTGGATAACTACAAGCTTGATGGAGTTATGGAAATTTGTACTGAGAAGCCACGAACACAGGGATTGGGGGGAGAATAGCACTATAATACCCAGCCCCCAATATATATGTGTGTGTGTGTGTTCACCAATTAATTTTGAAAGGTCTTTCAAAAAGGAAGTTAAAATTATTAGGGGCTATTATTTAGGAAGAGTTATCTTTTATTTGACTCAACCAAAAAGGGGGGAGAGAGAGGCAGCAAGGCTTTGGTTGGTGGAATGAGTGGGGTCTTCAAAAGAGGAAGAAAAGAAAACGAGAAGATCAAAGAATAAGGCAAATGCCATCCTATTTTCTTAGTTAATCAAAAGAAGTTTTCCTTTTCTCAAAACAGAAAAAAAAAAAAAAAAATACCCTTCTTCCCCAGCATTCCCGTTAAATACTCATTTATTTTTCCAATGGATTCCGTTCCGGATTTCATATGTATATAAGTTTTTGACTTTTACTATTATTATNAAATACATACCCTTCTTCCCCAGCATTCCCGTTAAATACTCATTTATTTTTCCGATGGATTCCGTTCCGGATTTCATATGTATATAAGTTTTTGACTTTTACTATTATTATATGTTAAATGTTATATATAGACCACTGGATATTGGTGGCTTTTGCCTTGGATAAGCTTGTTTGCTTTTGTTAAATCAATTTTTTTCATGTAGCTGTTCCACCTAAGATGAGGGGCCAACGAACTAGTTTGAGAGGTTGCTCGAATTTATTGGCAGTGGGATCAAAGTCACTGTTATGAGTTGATCTCTTTGTGAAAATGATACTTAACAAATATTTTCAGGATAAACATGTAAAGGTTTTTGAAAAATATAAATATTATAAGTGGACATTGGCTTGCTTAGTTTGTCTCTAATATATAGTAAGTGTATCAGATTAGTGACTGGGGCATGAATCCTTAACGTCTAGCGACCCTAGTGAAGTTTATACAGTCTTATGTAGAGAGCATCATGAAATTGGACTTGAATTGTTAAATAGTTGTGTATTGCTGAAGTGGTTTGTGATGTTCCAATATCCCTGTGAATTGGTCAGAGAGTTTATTGCAACTACCATATTAAATAGTTTTTTGTTTTGATTGACTTGGCCATCACCAATTCCTTACTACAAGGTGATAGTTTTGGATGTTATTTCGGTGAGATTGATAGAGATCCAAGTAACAGTAAGTAGTTATTTTCAGCGAGATTGATAGAGATCCAAGTAACAGTAATGCTAATATTGCAAATAACGTATTCGAAAAAGTTGTTGGTCATATATTTTATTTATTTTAGAGTTGATTGAAATTTGAAAGCATAGAAGATTTCAGGGAGATTCATCAGAAATTACAAACGCAGGGAGTTAAGTAACCTTCCACCTTTTCTGGTCTTATTTCAAACTTGGTTTTCATACTCAATAGCTTGTTATCGAAATGATCGGTGCAACTCGCTGTAATTGCTTGTTAAAATGTGGGGTTGGATATTATTGTAATTGCACCATTTCTATAAACTTCGGACCTGCCAAGTAAAACAATATTGTGGTGGTTGTTGAAAGTTATTTTTGTAATGCTTGTGTGAACTGAACTGTTATTGTCAGGGGTGACGAACATGAGTAATGTGTGGTGTGGAGAATTGTTTTGTTCCAGGCCTAGCTACAGGGGTTAACTGTAGCAATACCGAACCTGGCTATAGGGGTCAAGTGTGTAGCGTTACCAGACCTGGCTACAGGGGTTAAGTGTAGAATTACCAGACCTGGGGGTTACGTGTAGCAGTACTGGACTTCACTGTGAGGGTTAAGTATAGAATTACCGGACCTATGCTTCAGGGGTTAAATGTGGCAATACTGAACCAAACTACAGGGGTCTTTGAGTCATGGGATCAGTGTTGGTGTGACTGTACTCAGGAGTGGTTATTGACTTATGTTGTGTTTATAACCGTTTTGTGAGAATGGAGATAGGTGTTGAAATCTTGTTTTCGAAAGGTAAATATTTTCAAAGTATTGTTATTTATGAACTACCATGACCTTTGATAATATTCTGTTACATGCCTGGTCCAACTAGTTAAGGTTGTCGGTTAATTATTGAGTTGTCAAGCTCACTCCTATTTAATATTTTTCATATTTTAAAGATTAGATGCTACGAGTATTGAGGTGAAGACTATGAGGCAACTTGTGGGGAGTAGCAGGTTATGTAGTTATTTCTAGTCTACTGAATTATGTAATAGTTTAACTATTCCTACGGCATGTTTAGATGGTCGATTTCATTTCGCATATTTGGGGGTTTATAGTTGTTCAGTTCTCAAAGAGAGTGGTTTTAACATTTGGTATTTTAAAAATGCTCTATAGATTATTATTACTTGTTAAATAGTTCACCTATGAGAAGTTATACAAGTTTTACCCTTGCATGTCCTTTAGGTCTTGGCTGGCCTAAAGGCTGACACGGTTCATTTCGAGGCGTGACAAGAATGGTGTACAACAGATTTCACATCTCCCTCAAATAATTCCACCCTAAGAAAAATGTGCATTCCTTAACACAATCAAAAGAACATTTTGCTACAGCTCTGGCTCCACGAAGAAATGATTTCAATCAGGCCAACATAATCCAAAGCAGGAAGTTGCCCAAACCTGGACCGTTAGTTTGTTAAGGTATTAAGAAGTCAGGAACAACTTTCTCAAAAAGTTCCGTGTAGGCGTTGAACTTAGATTATTATCGTTCTTACATGCCCTTTATGTTTCAATTCTAACCAAGTTTTCTATTTTTAAAAGATTACACAACTCTCTAGAAATATAAGTGGCATGTTTCCGTAAGATACAGCATCTTCCTTTCATTTAACCCTAAAATGTGCCAAGATTTTTCTTCCCATCGACTTAAAAGTTAAAGCCCACCTCCAACTGTCCATACTGGATTTCAGCAGAGGATTGTCGTTCTCTTCGGGTCAATTCTAGGAAGTAATGAACTTCTACTAATTAGATTGCATTACACAAGTTTCAGAAAATATAATGTCACAATGGTGCAGTATGACTTTTTGGAGACATTGAGCATTTCAAATGTAGCATAAAATAAGTATATTTAATCTAGTACAAACCTGTGTCTTTGCAGAGTCTTCTGCTTCTGCTACCATTTTGAAAACTTCATTGCTACGTTCCTGAAACTGTGTTGCAATTCCGACAGCTGCAACACGATCTTCAAAACTCATTGGAAGATCTGCACTGCAGGATAATAGGTGCATTAGCAGAAGAAACAGGAATAAAAAAATCCAAATTAGAAGACAATCAGCAGAAAGAGTATGAAAATACAAGGATATGCAATTCATGTAGTGCCCTAAGTGGGATGTTTGCATTCAGTATAAGAACTGACACAAAAAACATTTCTCAAGCAGGAAAAGACCAGAAAAAAATATTAGCATGTGCAGTTTTACCTTGCACAGATTCAGTTTGCAAGTATAGGTAAATGAGAAGATATTTAAATATAAGTTCTTATAAGTGCTGATCACTAGGTGTACCTCAAATTTATCGCAATTCGGTCCAGTAAATGTTCGCGAACAGCACCCTCTTCTGGATTATAAGTTGCGATTAATAGAGGTTTGCATGGGTGCCTAAAGCTGATCCCCTCTCTTTCCACGATATTAACTCCCTCAGTCATCACATTCAGGAGCAAATTACTGATACCTTCATCCAAAAGATTAATCTCATCAATATATAGGACCCCTCTATGAGCTTCAGCAAGAAGGCCAGGCTGAAAAACCGTTGTTCCAGATTTCACGGACTCCTCGACATCAACTGAGCCAATTAATCTGTCTTCCGTGATACCAAGTGGAATCTGCAGCAGTAATACAATTAGGATAAATAAAACAACTTAAACTATTATCAAAAGGCTTCACCAATGAAACTACCTNGGATACGACTAGGATAAATAAAACAACTTAAACTATTATCAAAAGGCTTCACCAATGAAACTACCTGGACAAAAGGGGATCTGACAACTTGTGTCTTGACATTACCAGCAGAGGTGTACTCTACCTTATCACCAAGTCCATCTTCCCACCTTCAAACGTCATAATAAAATCATTTACTGTTTTGGATGAAAGACTGCACATAACAGTTTGAAGTATGTCTGTTATCTGATAAGAACACTTAAATATAGTCATACACGAAAAGGATAACAGCACATGAGCTCTACTGCATTTAAAATTTAGAATGGAAACAGGAAAAGCAAACATTGGCCATACATAAGCAAAGATTCCAAGAATATAGGACCTCTTTACAGGTGCCATGAAGGGATTATCAACTAGTCGCTATATCACTATAGTATCTAATAATAACCCTCAATAAGACCACAATAATGGGTATGCAGGAAGCAACCACTTTAAATACCAAAGCACAATGAGCCAATCAGCATTTAGTGTTTTTAGAGGTGCCCGAAAAATATAGTCACCCTATCATTATGAATGTAGATCATAACAACCCTAAGAAAGACATTATAATGGATACTTAGGTCGATTACGATTTGCAAATCACCAGTTCGAGTCAAGTTAACAAAGTGAAGAGACAAGACAACGATCCATCCAACTAACCTACTTTTTTAACCTTCCCATCGAGGTGGCAATGGAGGAGTTTCACTACTTAGAAGTGTCGAAATAAATGGACAACAAACTGGTGAGTAACATTAGGAAGTACATATGTCCAATGGCCCTGCTCATCCACATAGAAGCTTAAAAAAATTTCATATTATTTTCTTACATTTTCCATACCATTGGACTTTCAATATAGCATCAACAAGGGACCATTACTTGGTGTAATGATACATAATACAGACAGAAATTTCAGTGCTTTATGTTTCAAAAGGGGGACAAGAAAAGGAAAACCCATCAAAAGAAAAAGGAAAGAGATATACAACTAAGATATAGAGATTTGGAATGATTGCTAAGGAAATTCTACAACCATTATACACCTATCTACCAAATCTGCCCATTCTACATTTTCATACATTAAGGCCTGGTTTCACTCTTGGCTACATGAGGGTCCCAACAAAGTTGATATCGTCAACTGCAATGAATATGAATAATAGAAATTGTCCAACAAGAAGCTGCAAAAACAAGGATTTGACAGAAGATAACTTAATAGTAGCATACAATAGATTCAGGGTTTTGGCTTGCTTTTAAATTAATGGTCATTAATTCAAGCTTTTTGTCATTTCAATATTAGTCCACATTTTATGGAGTTATCAAGATTCAACAATCTTACTCTTCAGGGAAGCCTGGATCAGCATTTGCTATAGAACCCACAACTACTTCAATAGGTGGCAAAATCGCATGTAATCCACGTGCCATTACAGTTTTGGCTGTTCCTCGCTTTCCAGAGATTGCAATTCCTCCTATCTCACGGTCAATAGCCCCAAGTAAAAGAGCAGTTTTTATGGCATCCTGTAAATGACTTGGCTTTCAGAATGTCTATTTGATGGGGAATATTTATACCCAGCAACATGTTTCATCTCTTGAAATATTTTTGTTGATAAGACTTGCAGTGAATTAGTATAGTGGTAAGTAACAACAAATAAATAAACAAAATGCAACAAAGAGAGTTGATATACAGAGCAATCTCCAGCCAGGGATATGTGACATTCTTGCATTAAGATTTTACAAGAAGTCAATCTGAACTTGCAAAAAATTTCTGCAGCAAAAACCAAGACAGGTGCCCTCTTGGTTGTACTAATTTTGGTATTCTTTGCGCACTTACACACTAGGTAAAAAAAACACGAGAAGAATTTTCCCCACCAGCTCCCAACTGTTTCTGATAAATATATTCTTGAAAGAGGGAAATGAAGAAAAATTGCCTCATGCTGGCAATGCTCATATATTGAAACATGTTCCATTCTGCCTTTCAGGACAAACAGAGTTCTACACTTAGAAGATGTGGTTCACTAATTATGTGCATTTCATCGAATTCCTTGGCTTTTCTTATATGCTGCTACTCCTAAGGTCAACCAACTGATGCCAATAATAATTCTGTCCTTGTCTTAGTTGAAATCATTGCCCTCGCATTTTGGCCGATGATTAAATTTTTATTTCATTTTGGATGAAACGACTGTTTTGGTTTCATTGAAAACCCAAACAAATCAATGATTGAATATTGGCATGCCCTTGTTTCGGATTGATCTAGAATGTTTCGAGATGATTCAAAATCGAAGTACCAATGTTTCAGAAACTAAACTCCAAATTTTTCTTTGTTTACAAAATGTTTCAAATTTCTGAGCTGACCTAAACTAAACACAGAAACTTAATTTTGATCCTACATTCTGTCCAAGATCGCCTTCTTTACACAGGCTCCAATTTTGCATGATTTCTCACAATTGATCAGGTAAATTGTAGGAGCAAGTTATAGTAAAACATGTCTAATACAAGGAATGAGCAGACCACTACCCGAGCTTCACTCACTATCCTATGGTTGCAGCCAATTAGTCCCTGATTTGAATTTTTCTGCCAAGAAANGGTAAATTGTAGGAGCAAGTTATAGTAAAACATGTCTAATACAAGGAATGAGCAGACCACTACCCGAGCTTCATTCACTATCCTATGGTTGCAGCCAATTAGTCCCTGATTTGAATTTTTCTGCCAAGAAACAGCCTGATCCTTACGATTCTTCAAGGTTTAGTTCCTTTTGACCATGCCAGGGATCTTAAAAATAGAAGATGGCTACCTTTTCGAAAAATGTTAGATGACCTTGAAGTTGTGAAAAGTGTAAAACCCAGGAAAATTTGAATTTTTATTAAAAAGAGCAAAACGGTAATTAGCCGCTACGGTACGGGTTAAAAACCCGAATTTTTCTAGAACTCGAATAGCTAAACGGACCTCAACACTGGATTCCTCTCGCTAAATCTAATTACCCAATCAATTTTCGTTGAATTTCAAGATAGTCTATTTTTTCTCGTTTTACAAGACAATTAGGTGTTACGTAACCAAAATAAATGCAACCGAGAAATAAATTGTGAAATGTGAAAAATAATTTAAAGTTAGTTCAATAAAATATATTGAACTTAAAACGGGATGAGATTTAATTGATTCGGGACAAAATCGAACACGAGAAAGGCGGACGTGTGGCGCACTGTTAGCCAAGTATATGGGGAGTATAAAAAAGTGGAAAAATTAAATTTTCCCCCCATTTCTCAGCCTTGCATTTCTGGAAAAGAGAAGGGAAGGGAAGAGAGGAAAAAAGAAGGGTTCTTTAACCTTCTCTCTAAGATCTACGGCTTTGCGTTTGTCGAATCGCTTTGGACCAAGAAAAAAAAAGATTGTTCTACATATTGTGAACTACAAAATCATACCAAAGATAGTAGATTTTTACGAAGTCTCAAAAACGACATTTTTTAAAAATCAAGGTTTGAAGCTTGATTTGGGCTCTTGAGACCTTTCTACCACTTGTATCACGCTTCAAGAGATAGAGGTTTTGCTCCTATCTAGGTTTATTTTCAACCTAGGGTTTCGTATGAAATGGGTAGCATGATTTGGGATGAAATCTCTTATCTAAATGTATTTCTAGTGTAACTAGAGTATGAGAAATGGTATAAAAATGTGCTAAAACTAATTGTTGCATGAATTGGGTTTTGGGTGAAATTGTTTGTTTTGATAATTTCATGAGAAATGTGTTGATTGGGCATCTATGTTTTTATATTTATGCTTTGAAGGTGTTTGATAAAATGCTTATATTGATTTAACATATTGGTTTCATTGAACATGTTACAACATGCTTGTTCGAAATTGTGTAATGTAATTATATGCTCATGATATAATTGACATTGTAAAAATGGTGTATGTCATGCTACTCTCATGATATGATGAACATGACATTAGAATTACAATTAATTAATTAAAATCTTAGTTGCATAATGATATGAAATGAAATTGTACATTACATTTTGTATGCACGAGAAGTATCACATTCGTGGACATGTGACATGGGTGTGGGTGTGTGCATGGTATTGATCAAACGCCATTCTTGGTGGATGATGCGTGGACTCAGGAAAGTTGAACCAAACTTTGATTGAGTCACACGGATTGCATTGAAAATAGGGTTAGGGTTAGCAAGAAAGGCTAGATTATCCCTCGAATGTAAGATTTGGTGACTTGGATACACAGTCTGTTGGTATTGAGTTCATAATGTGTGTCAACGTATACGGGGTCATTGGTGGAAGTCCANCAGGGTTAGCAAGAAATGCTAGATTATCCCTCGAATGTAAGATTCGGTGACTTGGATACACAGTCCGTTGGTATTGAGTTCATAATGTGTGTCAACGTATACGGGGTCATTGGTGGAAGTCCATAAATGTCGTGTTGGTTGGGTGCTCGTTGGTGGAAGTCCATAAATACCCACCCCAAGAAAGATCTAGGAATTTTAAATGATCATTGGACGTGCAACATCAATGGCAGAGACTTAGAATATCCAGATGTATACGCATGACATTGCATGTATTATGGGAGCCGGTGAAGGCTCGGGTTATATTACATGTGTTAGTCTCGCCTTATAACATGACATGTCATTATGACCTTCATTCTTGAAGTTGCATGTTCGTAGATAAATGCTTGTTTGATTGCTAAATTGCATGTGAACATTTCATATACATCTAAGTTAGGGAGTAGCCTCTTTATGAGATACTTTACTGAGCGTGACTCACTTTTTATGGAGGGACAACATTTCAGGTGCGGGACAAACGCAAGTGGACGACTCTCACTTGGGCCCTAATTGATGAAAAAAGCCGAGTTGTGGATTTGAATTATATTTTTGTAAAACAAGTGTGTAATTAGTTTTTGAGCATGTAATATTATGTAAAGGATTGCAAAACGAATTCCTATGAACTATATTTTGTGTAAAATTTGATATTATATGAGTTTAGGTGAATGTTGTATGAGATTGGAAGAGTTGAAATTGCAAAATGATTGAATTTGGGGCAAACTAGGCTCTTCTAACAGTAGAACATTGAGTATCTATCGGTAGAAAAACTCTATAGAGCTCTTCTACCGGTAGAAACATTTCAGAGAGCTCTTCTACTAGTAGAACGTTGATTATCTACCGGTAAGTCGTTTTAAATTCTCAAAAATTTTAAATAATCTTGTCAAGTCTTTGGGCCTTGAGTCCTTTTGTTCAAAGGATGTAAATGGAGTAGTATCAAGGATAGATTGATGTATATTGAACCTTGAAAAGGTTAAGTGATTGAAATGTGCACAGATTATGCTTTTGAGAGTGTCTGGTACAAGAGAAACTCTGTCCAAACTCTGTGTTGTTTACGATCCCGGTGAAGGGGATATTATGCCGTGATGTCAAATTATGCGGCACTCACGGGTACTTCCGCGGGTTGATAAAAGACCACCGGTTTTAGGGGCGTCACAAAAAGACTAAGTTCACCTAGTTAAGCGAGTCTCTATGATAGGCCTTTCTGGAAAATTAGTCAATTAATGTGTCCACTAAAGAGAGATTGAATTTTTTTTCCCAACCTTCTTCTTTGCCTTGTTTAACCAGACTGGGAGGTTTAGTTGACACCTAAACCCCAAACTTCAGCATAGATATTCTAAAAATTTTTTTTTTTTTTTTTTTTTTTGGGGGGGGGGGGTGTGCGTGTATGTAACCTCCCTGAAGTGGACAAGGACAACATAAAGTCTATCCTAACTACAGTAACTACACCTTCCCAGTCAGATGTATAGCTAAAGAAATAACTCCAGCTAATGTTATCATTTATACAGCATATCTCACATTTGAATCCAGAACTTTTTTCACTTACTGGAAGGCCAATATATAAACGAGCAGCAAAGGATACTCACTCAGGAAAGTGCACACGTAGGAGGATTGGCCGATACAAAGGCTCAGAATCAGTGAACCATCATATCAACTTTTTCTAGGCTTATTCGATACACATGGTTGGCAAATAATTGTGTGCATTCATGGAATGAGTCTATATAAGAGCAAAACAGCCAAGGACACCTTGGGCCTCTACATATGTATGTATAACCAACTTGCTGACAAGTACCAAGTGGGAATGCTAATAATTAAAAGGGCACACCCCTGCAGTCTAAGTTTCTTATTATTCACTCTTCTTCGGTAGACCCAAATTACCTGGGAAAAAAATGATGACCAAGTTTAGTTGCTTTGATATGCATATAGACATAAGTTATTTTCCCAATTTATTTCCCATACCATATGCAATCCCTTCTTCTTGTTCTTTATTTTCTCCCCACTCTAAGGTGCCAATCGGGAAGAAAAAAAAAAAAAAAAGGGGGCCAATCGGGAATGCAACTCATGTATGTCTACAAGGAAAAAGCCATAGACACCTTGAGAAAACATAACTATCAGAATGTTCAGCAAGATCCATATGCACCATGTTTTGCAAGCCTCAAGGAAGGGATACACCCTTTCACTAACTGAACTAAAGAAAAGACTACAACTTGTACATCATCTCTGAGTCAAGATTCTAAAAATCAATAATTCCTATCCTGCCACATGCACCACGTCAAAAAGATGAGACTGCCTTCCAAGTAGGACCATGTCTACCCGATTAATGTCCCAAAATCCATAACTTTCTATACAGACTAAAATTTTTCTTTGCTTACGCCTCTCAAGGATCAAATTTATGGTAACTCATTTCATTACCCAATGTATTCACTCTACATAAATCTGGGGAAATTTTGTAGCTCCTGACCCCTCAAAAAATGAGTAAACATTCAATAAGCTGAGAAAGCCAGGGTTAATCACTCTGACAAAACAAGTGAAAACATAAAAATATTCTCAATCATATAACTGCTACTAAAATTCTGTTTACTTTAAATGAGTTGTTAAAATGTCAAATTTGAGTTCAGACAGCATAATCTCAGGGAATGCCACCACCTTAAATTTGAGTTCTTTATGAACGCTTTGACAAACACATTCCATTTTGCATTGCAGAGATTAAACTTATAAGCTATAGGCCACCATAAAATTACTCTTGCCAACTTGGCAATCAGAGTTGGAGTTCTTTAACAGTCCTTATTCTCACGTAAGACACATTTCGAATTATCAAAATAAACCCTTTAATTCACAATATCCAACTTCAAAAAAAAAAAAGAAAACTGGCAAACCCACACACAGAAAACCATTACCCCAAGAAACAACCCCTCCCAATAAAAACCCACTTCAATACAAGAGTATACAAACTGCCCCATTAAAGCATTCAAGAAGAAAATCACAATTAAGAAAGCAAAACAAAACACTCTTCAATTACCATAATTTAAAGAAAGAAAATTAGAAAGAGAGACGACCTGTCCAACAACAGCAGCTAACGGGAAGTACTGTCTTCCATATGAAGTGCTCTCCGGCTTATCCGAGGTCACGGTGACAGAGCCATTGCCGGATTCAAAAGTTGCTATGGCACGAACTTGGGGACGACTGTTACACGGTCTTGGTTTCAAAGAAGAAGAGAGAAATGGGTACAGTCGAAATGTGGAACGTTGTTGAAAGTTAGAGAGCGAGGAACATGGACGTGCTGCGGAAGACAGCGCCATGAACCACGGAAGTGGAGAGAGAGAGAGAGAGAGAGAGAGAGACCGCTGTTGTTATCTTATCTTCTACTTCTCTTATGCCCAGAGTTGAACTATTTTCTGCATATCAAATGGGCCGGGTCATGAGTGGCTCCATTCTCCTTGGATTTTTTTGGTAAATTACACTTTGACACCCTCACCTATAGACTTAATTTCATTTTTCCCTTTAAACTATTATATTTTTCACATTATCCACTCAAATACTTGAATTATTTTACATTGCCCCAAACGTAAATGTCTGTTAATTTTTTGAACAAAAATTTTCAACGTGTCAACGGACAAAATGGAAAATAATTACAGGACAAATAAAATTATTTGTTGTCAAATTTATAACGAACGTTAATTATTGGGGCACAAAAAAATTAATCATATAGTTGAGATACAATATAAAAAATATAATAGCTTAGGGAGCATTATTAAAAAAAATATTCATAGTTGAGGGGTCAATTTCTAATTTATTTGTGTAATATTGGAAAGATTAAGTTAACAAATCATATCAATACAATACAACTAACATTGCTCCTATCTAAAATATTTTTAAAAACTCATCAATAAATTAAAAAAAAAATTAAAATAAATAAACAGAGTAAGAATTATTAGAATTTGAAACCGGATAGGGTTTGACACCGCACCTCTACCTAAGAAATGTCGAGTATATGTTAAAATTTCTTAAAAGAACTTTCTTTTGTTCTAAAAGTAAATTAAATAAGTTGTTATATATAAAAAAAAATCCACAAAGCATTGATGATACACAAAAAAGTGAGCTTATGTAAAATCAATTAAGAATGAAGTAAAGAGGGTTCAACACAAGAAAACATAAAAATTAGATGGTTTGATTCGGATGAACTACTCAACTGAAAATGGGGATGGTGGCTGGAGAATCTTATTAATTGAGAGGTGTAGTGTGATGAGATGTGTGTGATGTCACCATGTATAGATGAGGCTTACAATTTATAGGCAAACGAAATTAGCTCCGAAGGACTCTGATTGAGGTGTTATCCTCACAAGGAACAAGGTGATGTCGTTAGTGTCATCTATTCCTTGCAATCAGCGACGTGATAAAGGGGTGATCCCTTGAAGCTCACTCTACCTTGTAACAGGCGAGATAATCTTGTGAGACTGGCGATGTGTCTCCAATGACTATATGCCCATGATTTCTACTCCTCGTATAGAGACTCCCACGTAGGTTGAAGATGGACGGGGCTTCTTAAGAAAGTGGGCTTGGCCACATATAAATTATGATTGGGCTTTTATTGTTTTGTTTTTGTAATCTGAGTTTAGTCTGTATATTTAATATGGACTTGGTCTACGTCTCTAATATGGGGGATCCGACTCCTCTATTTTTTCCTAAGAACAGCAGCCTAAGTTGTTCGCTCAAAATGACACCATTTTCACTCTTTTTTTTTCGTTAAACGGCACCGTTTCATTTTGTTCTTGAACAGTCCCAAGAACAGCAATTTGGTGTCATTCTTGGCACACTCCTACACCAAAAACAAACAACGGCTCATGCAATTCTTGGTGCACAGCTGCAAAGCGTGCAATTTTTGTTTTGCGATTCGTCTCCTTTGTCCATTTTGGGTATTCTTATGTCCATTTTAAATATACATACACACCCACAAATTTACATTTTTTTTAGTTGGATTTTTCTTGATCTAAATTTAAATTTTAAAATTTTGAATCTTCGATTGTTTTATTGATTTCTTTAATCATTATTAAATTTTATGATATGATTTAATTGTGATGTTTTGGTTTGTTGTTAATTTATATTGATCGTGGGTTCGAACCTCATCGCCACCTTCTTCATGTAACATACTGTTAAAAAAAATAATTTTAAAAATACATTGAAGCTTGTTTTAGTGTTGATACACTAGTTAGTCCATTTTTTTTTCCAGGTACTGACATCGAATTGAAGTTCGTTGTGATTAATGAAATTGTGAACACTCCAAGTATTGGTATGCAGTTTGACTCGGATGAAGATCCTTATGAATTTTATAACAAATATGAAGATTCGGTCGGATTTAGTGTGAGAAAAGACTATCACAATAAAAGTAAGAAAGATCAGATCATGATTTATAGAAAGCATATTTGTTGCAAAGAGGGATAAAGAGATATGGCTAAAAGGGATTGAAAAGTAATAAAGTCACGAGCCGAGACACGAATCAAATGTCCGGCTCACATGTGCATATCTCTCAATCGGGAAATTGAAAAATTTATTCTGGTCAAATGGGAGGATGATCACAATCATCCATTGCACCTTTAGGAATGTGTGCATATCATGTGATCCCAAAAGAAGGTTTCTACTGTGCAAGACATTCATGTTGACATGACAGCAGATTGTGAGATATTACTTAAAGATTCATATGAACTTATGAGTACTCAGGCATGTAGAAGGGAAAATTTGGGGTTCACTCACTCGGCAAGACAAAAAAAATTACATCGTGATAGGAGGCAACGAGAGTTGAGATATGGTGAAGTTGATAGTTTGTTGAATTATTTTCGGTTAGAAATGGTTAAAAATTCATCATTTTACTATGGTATCTAGTTGAATGTTGAAAAGCATATTACAAATATTTTTTGGGCTGACCCGAAAATGATTATTGACTATGGTCACTTTGGAGACATTGTCTCATTTGACACAACATTCTGTACGAACAAGGATTATCGGCCTTTTGCATGCTTTGTTGGCTTTAATCATTTTAGGAAGACTTTGATTTTTGGTGTTGCATTATTGTATGATGAAACGGCAGAGTCGTTTCAATGGTTATTTGAAACATTTTTTCAAGCAATGTCAGGGAAGAAGTCTATCACCATCTTTACTGATCAAGATCAAGCAATGGCTAACGCAATAACCCAAGTGATGTTGGGGGACTTATCATAGGCTATATACTTGGCACATTTCCCAAATTGCTTTAAAGCATCTAAGGAATATATACAAGGATGGTTCTAACTTTGTCACCAATTTACAAAAATGCACCTACGAATATACGGAAGAACATGAATTGTTGAGACTTGAAATATTTTGCTTGATGAGTATAATTTGCGAGATTATACCTGGATGAAGACAACTTGGACTTTGAGGGAGAAATGAGCTAAGATGTATATGAAGAGAACTTTCACAGCAGGTATGAGGAGCACCCAGATTAGTGAGAGTTTGAATGCAAAATTGCGAAAGAACTTAAAGTCAAATCATGATATTGTTCAATTCTTTACTCACTTTGATAGAGTTGTAAATGATAAGAGATATGTGGAGTCGGAGGAAGAATATCATGCTAGGCAAAAGTTGCAAAGAATGAAATTCAAAAAGGCTCCCATGTTGGTGCAAGTTGGACAATGTTACACTCCTCTTATGTTTGATTTATTTTATGACGAGTATGATACATTCCAGTGTGCTGTTGTGAAGTCATGCAATACTATGGAGAAACAACATGAATTTGTTGTTAAATTGTTTGAAAAAGAGAAAGAGTATTTGGTGTGGATAAATGCTACTCAACAACTTATTAGTTGTAGTTGTCGGAAGTTTGAAATTGTTGGAATATTATGTAGTCATACACTTAAAGTGTTGGACACAATGAATATTAAGCAAATTCCTAAAGGCTACATAATAAAGAAATGGAGACAAGATGCAAGGAATATTTATACACCAGATTATAGTGTATCAAATGTGGAGAATCCTAAGNAATGGAGACGAGATGCAAGGAATATTTATACACCAGATTATAGTGTATCAAATGTGGAGAATCCTAAGTTGGTGGCAACATCTCGTTATAAGCAACTGTGTCCTAGAATGATACAATTAGTAGCTCGTTGCTCTGAACTTGGACCTGCACATCAGTTGGTGACATGAGGCATTCAAAATTTGTTTGAGCAAGTGGAGAAAATGCTTGCATCACATATTGATGAAGGTAGTGCTTCATTTGAAAGCACATGTGTGGATAATGAAGGAATGGAGAAAGTGAACCCTAACATTTTACAAGTGAAAGGTATAAAGAGGAAGAAAGTAGTTACATAACATTCTAATATATCCAAGATATGACACATCGAANGACCCTAACATTTTACAAGTGAAAGGTATAAAAAGGAAAAATGGTGGTTACAAAGGTTGGGGTCGACTCAAGTCGTGGCATGAGAAATCATCTAAGAGGAAGAAAGTAGTTACATAACATTCTAATATATCCAAGATATGACACATCGAACATTGAATGATTTTTTTATATTTACTTAACATACGACAATATTNTCCATATGCACCGTGTTTTGCAAGCCTCAAGGAAGGGATACACCCTTTCACTAACTGAACTAAAGAAAAGNGCAAGATCCATATGCACCATGTTTTGCAAGCCTCAAGGAAGGGATACACCCTTTCACTAACTGAACTAAAGAAAAGNAACATTGAATGATTTTTTTATATTTACTTAACATACGACAATATTGATTTGAGAATTATTTGTCATTAAGGTACCTTTATGTTGACAACTAGTATGTCCACAACCATTACCTTCACAACCATTATCTATACAACCAGTATGTTCACAAGCATCTAATACTCAGGTATGTTAGTTTATTCATACATTNAGACTACAACTTGTACATCATCTCTGAGTCAAGATTCTAAAAATCAATAATTCCTATCCTGCCACATGCACCACGTCAAAAAGATGAGACTGCCTTCCAAGTAGGACCATGTCTACCCGATTAATGTCCCAAAATCCATAACTTTCTATACAGACTAAAATTTTTCTTTGCTTACGCCTCTCAAGGATCAAATTTATGGTAACTCATTTCATTACCCAATGTATTCACTCTACATAAATCTGGGGAAATTTTGTAGCTCCTGACCCCTCAAAAAATGAGTAAACATTCAATAAGCTGAGAAAGCCAGGGTTAATCACTCTGACAAAACAAGTGAAAACATAAAAATATTCTCAATCATATAACTGCTACTAAAATTCTGTTTACTTTAAATG